AGCCCTGTAAGTGGCCAATAAATCTATTCACCAAGCCAAAGCCCGCAATAATGTCTAATAAGCATGATAATATTGATAGGCTCGTAGATCAGCAATATTGAACAGCCAACTCTAAAAGATCACGCACTTTGTTATGTGGAAATCAGTGATGAAACTGGCCTCACAGAAACTTCAGAGAAATATTTTACATGTACGAAACCATAAAATCGTATAATGTAACAGATAACAATTTACAAGAATTTAGGAAAAATGTATCACTTAAAAAGTTTTAGCTTTTGGATATTACTCCACTCACCCATACACCTTCATGGCGTAGTGCTTAATTAGTTAAGCATAAGGAGCAATTGGTGGAATGAGGATTGGCGAGGGAAACCGAAGTACTGGAGAAAACCTGCCCCAGCGCCACTTTGTCCACCACAAATCCCACTTGACCAGACACGGGATCGAACCCGGGCCACCGCGGTGGGAAGCCAGCGACTAACCGCTTGAGCTATGGCGCGGCCCTAACATGTATGTACATATATTTGATATTCTAGTAAAAAGACCCACATCAAATCATCCAACCCCTTTCCCATTTCTCCAAGCACTCACAGTTTCCTCCCCCCTACCTCATGCCACTCAACTCTTCACAAACATGTCCACATATACAGATACCCCCCAAACAAGTAGTCTAGACCGGTCTAGACCGAACCGCTACAACACAGCGACAGCATCAAAGCAGGGAGCAGGCCGTACATATGCCATTCATCAGAACAACCTATTATATGTAAGTACATATACCAAATAATCTAACAACGAGTTTAATAATGCCATACTCACAAGCTTCGCCTTATAATAATAATAATTAAACTGTTATTATTACTGAATAATGAGCATAAGCTCCGTAAGACATTAATAAGGTCACGACTACGTGATCTATCCCATGTGAGAAGTTCTGTTACGCGGGTGCCCCGTGCTACAGTCGCTTCTACCGGCATCAAACCAGGTCAAAACGTAGCGGTCGTGGAATTTTACTACAAAAACACAATTTTAACTTTCATGTCTTAAACTTTAGTTTCCAATTTAATCTCTATATCTTTAATTTTAAATTTTATTATCTAAGCATCATCAGTTTTAAAAATTTGACCAAGACTTAACATATTAATTTATGCAGTTAAATAATTTCAAGACACAATAAGGATCCTTATTTAAAGAATTAAATGAGAATTTATTGCAGCTCAAGAGTTCAAACTGGAGCATTGTATGCCTGATGATGACCTGGTATAAGGGTCGAAACATGTTGCATCTGTAAAATCATGATAAAAACAAATGTTGATTCAGTGGTGTCTTCTTTGTTTTTAAATACATAATATTGTTGTGTTGACTGCGTACCTTATTTAATTTTGCATATCTTATTTATGACACACATCCGGTCACGGTAGCCGAGCGGTCTAAGGCATGCACTGTCTTCGCTCGCGCGGAAGCCGGGATCGTGGGTTCGAATCCAACTCAGGGCATGGATGTTTCTGTGCGTTTTTCTGTGTTTGTGTACAGGTAGAGGCCTTGCGACGAGCTGATCACTCGCCCAAGGAGTCCTACCGAATGTGTAAGATATAGAAAAACCGAAGTGAACGGAGAAGTTCATGGAGGTAGGCCTAGGCCCACTGGAACTGTAGTGCCAAAGGGGGAAAAAAATTACGATGAATACTATATGTATTATCTCGAATAAGTGTCTCTTACTGCATGCGAATTAATGAAGACTTTTTTTTGTTCTTTCCTTTGGCTAATGAATAAATTATAGTACAATATTGGTAATCCTTCCTACGTTTCCTTGGTTCCATATATATACATGTATGGGACCAAGGAAAGGCTGGATTACCGAAAACGAAGGGTTACTGGAAAAAGTCGGGGAAATTGTTAAGTAGTACTGCACAACATAGAAATTTCTGACTTTATTATAATGCATTTATTTTACATACATAAATTTGTACTTCTAATTTTTATTAATTACAGTATTTACGCATGTATAGGCCGCGTGCGTGTATAGGCCGCAGCACAATTTTCAGACAGAAATTATAGAAAAAATTATTTTCTTGGAATATTATTTCAGGAGTAGAACACCCTGTATTACTAATTATGAATATAATTTTTTTAAATGAAGTGTGATTTCGAATATTTCGAATATAAGCCGCACCCCAGTTTTCCTCTTGAATTTTTGGCAAAAAATGTGCGGCCTATACATGCGTAAATACGGTAATTCAATATTTAGGGCATTTAAATGCGATTTTACAAAAAAAACACGTCAATAATTTTCTATATTTTGTTTCTAAATGCCCCTTTTAAAACTTTTCCTTGCCATCTTCTTAATGTGGCGATACCTGAGCTTGCATCTTGTT